TGTTATTGTCATTAAGTGGGTAATGAGTCACAAAACAAATAATCAAAACATTTCAGAGGTGAGGTCACCAAAAGTGTCTTTGCCCCTGTGTCCTGAGAACCCTTGCTACGCCACTGGTTTCATGCATCTCTCCACAAAGTACTTGCACTCTGATCACAGGTATGTTGTTGTAGTTTGTCTACTTTAGCTTGATCCAGGGTCACAAATTAATTTAAAAAATTATAACATTTTACACAAGACATCAAGAAGTCATGGTTTCCATGAGCCTTATGTACAATTTCACTTGTGTATGGTTTATAGCTGAAACTTTTGTTTACTGTTGTACCTTTAATGTTAAAAAGTGGCAATAATGATGACATAGTAACCATATCTTTAAATTTTACATTTGAAAAGTAAAATGGTGTATTACATGTGCTGGGTATGTTTTCATCATCTTCTGGCAATGTGTCTCTACCACATTTTGGCTTCTGGAGCTGAATAGAAGAGAGGGGGCCTTGGCTCTATATTTCTTTTAGTTCCTCGGTTCCATGTTAGAGAATCATCAGTACATGCTATAACTGTATAGTTATTTCTAACTGTGTGTTTAAGTTTCCATAGAACTACTTCTACATGACTGCATGTGTGTCCTTGTCCTGCTATGAATGAGCACCATCCTTTTAAAATTATTCCATCTTGTTTACAACGAGTAGACACTTCATTTGTTTTTGATATATTTTGTGAGGCATGGATGTCAGCTTTCAATAAAATATCATTATTTTTATGTTTTGTGCAAAATTTGACCTATGTGCTTTTAAAGTTTTTCATCTCCTGACATTGACTGCCTTTGATGATATCAAAATATTGTAAATATTGGCATACACAACATTTGCCCAATTTCTCATATCATTGATCCAATTTGTAATCTTATTTATGTCTGGTGGTTTTGAATAATCACAATCTAATTCCATTTCAGTAAAAAATAAACTATTTGTTGATAGTATGTCAATTTGTATACGTTTTCTTTCACTACAGCAATGGCACTGGTAACAGTATCACCACCCTAGCAATTACATCTAAAAGTAAGGGCAATAATTGAAAAAACGTGTCTATAGCCTAATTGAAGAAATTTATTATTGACTGGGATGTCATCTGGTGGTAAGTAGTAGCAGACAAAAGCTAGGTCAGAGATAATATTTGTTAACATGCCTGGTATGAAACTTGTAATGGACTAAGTTAAGAAAACAAAAACCAAATAAAAGTTAACAAGTCCCAAATTCTGGTAGAACTTAAAAATATTAAATCTGAGAGTTCTAACATTTCTGAGGTAATGATCAAAAAAAGATGCACAAAATTTCAATTATAATCATTGTTACTATATAAACATGTATGGTAAACACAAAGCACTATAAAATTTAACTCATATTTAACACATTTTTTGTAACACTTGTTTCTTGCTTTATAAAATATAAGCACTTTTGTATAAACTGTTTGGAATATTGTTTAAAAACTAAGTGAAATGTAGATGTTAAATCTCAAGAAGAGCTGAAATGTATAATCACATATTTTCTAACATCAAACAAAATTACAAAACAAAAAAGTTTCCTTACTACAAGTATTATTATAACACATTAATGTTACTTACCTGAAATAATTTGATTCACTATCAACAGAAATAACATTGAAGTTATCTGGAAACAGAAATATGGATTATAGTTGTCATTATATACACTGTAATCATATTTATATTACTATAAATACTTTATTCTTAAAATTTTCTTACACTGAAAATGTATTTTTGAGATGTACTTACCTTTATTACATAAAGCTATCTCAAACTTCTTTCCGCTCCTTAAGCCTTAAGCATTGCTAAAAAATTTTAACGCTCAGCACATCAATCTATATACCCCATAAATTTCATGCCACCTTTGAACATGTATATAGCATGTGACCACCCTCCACTAATAGTATTGCATGACCTATATTGACACAGCTAGTTCCCTCCGATTCTCCTGCTCAATCCTCACTTTTGAGAATTGGCAGGATCTAAAATGAAGAACACCAGCTGTGAGAAGGATGAGTGGGAAGTGTGTGAGAGAAGGTAAATGCCTATCAGAAATACATTTTCAGTGTAAGAAAATGTTAACTTCCAATACAGTCTTACCTCTACTCCCACAAAGCTATAATCTCACAGTGAAATGGTGGAGAGGCAGGTGTAGGTACCTAACAGTGAAATCAAGGGGAAAGTGAGCGCCTAGAAATAACTGGTGTCCTCAGAGACAAAACTGAAGCACACATGCAGGGCATTGCACAACTTCTGGAACAGGTATGATGTTAACCCAATAAGACGGAAATGAACATGACATGGGCACAAAAAAAGGACGTGCACAAACTTAACTCATTCTCAGAGGTGCAATCCATAGTAAAAAATGGTGCAAATTCATATCATCCTCCATCACACAAACCAGACCGGAAAACAACCGGCTCCCATCTGAAGAGTTGCTCTATGAAATGAAAACTCGAAGCAAACTCGATACCCACATGAAGAGAAATGGCAAGGTAAGGGGCGGTTTGCCGAAATATAACAATGGAGAAAAACAACTAGCCATGGCTAGGTAGCTACCCAACCTAAAGTGGACAGACGAGGTTCCACAACCCATCCTCAGCATCAAGAGGTTGAGGATCACCCAGATAAAAATGAGATTACAATAAACATTGTGACTAGGGCATGTAGACTGTGTGATATATAAACATACACACCAACCCCAACAGTAAGTAAACAGTGTCATTCGTCAAGCGACTGAAATTACAAAGAGGAAGTTAGCATTCAGCCAAAACCAGACAAACTCCCAAAACCACTGTAAGAGCAAGAAGTATAACATACCAAACCCAGCAGTATGGGTTCATGTCACTACCTCAAATCTACCATAAGAACAGGGTAATACCTGTAATCATTATTAGGAACAGTAATTGTAACTCACCCAACTGTAAATGCAGGGAAGACATATCCTGCACCCAGAATTACAAGGAGATGTAGAAAATTTGCTCAACTGTAGGAGCAGTGTACGTACATCCTGCCACCAGTATTTTGAGGCAGATAAAATCCCTCAAACTCATCCATAGGAGCAAGGAAGGAAACCTCCTGCAACCAGAGTTAACGAGAAGGGGCACTTCTACTGCACTCAACTGTGGAAACAGGATAGTGTCATCCTGAACCTGGTATTACAAGGAGGATCCCACTTAAACTGGTCCTGCTCCAACCAACATTCAGTCCACCTGGGAATAAGCATCAAGGGGAAAGGGAAGGATGAAACCCAACTTTGTCCTCTACTCACAGAGGGGATAAATGTGTGGTTGTACTGTAAGGTAAATTTCTAAATTACACTCAGTAAGAAGCTTGCCTGGTCCACCACCCCAGTAAAAGGGAACTGGTAAGTGGTAAGGACTCACATGCTCAACTTGGAGAAAAAAGAAGGGGAAGGAAATATGATGGGGAGTCTGGAGGAATATCACAATAGAATACGTGTAATGGGTGTTCATGAATTCCTATTTTGAAAAGCAAACCATCCGCAATTTATGCAACCAAAGGGGCAGCAAGTATGGGCAGAAATCCCCTTTTGCTTTACTCCAGATAGTCCAGGAGTGATTAGTCCACCACTGAGTTAAACTTATGGATACCTAGTGACATATAAGTATATATCACTAGATATGCCACTAGTGGTCATGCGGAACACCTCATCTCTAAGGTAAGTATTATAGCTCTACCGGTTTATAGTGCGGGTTTGAGTGGAAGTACACCTGACCAAGCAACAGTAAAAGCAGTAAAAGAGGGTCCCTAAAAAGAAAATATAAATGAAATGTTGTGAAAAGACATACCAAAGTTAAAGGCAAACAGATGTGTAGAATTGCCACAGGAAGGAGACAATATTCACCTGAAAAAGATACAGCCAAATAGTGCAAATAATGAGCAACAAAGGAATAGGGAGAAGTCCACATTCTTGCCTGAACAATTTCTTCCAACTAAGAGTGAAGATGAGCAGCCAAAGACATGTGATATGACAAATTTGATGAAAAGAAACACTGAGGAGAAGGTGACCTTCCATGGATAAGCCTGAGTCGATGAACCCAAGCAGTTAGTGTGACAAGGAATAACGGGAAACAGAAGGGTTCCAGGGAGCAAAAGGTCAGGAACGTGAACCCCAAAAGGAGGCAGTAAGTGTAACATAACACCCTATGGTGCAAGCCTGAGAAAGGAATCGATTGGGATCAGAATGGGAGTACAGGTGGGAGATGGAAGGTAAAGAAATGGGTGTAAAAACCAAATGGCCTTCCCAGGAAACAGAGGTCTTAGGGAGGAAAGACCACACTGGATATAGGATGACATAAAAGGAATGGTTAAGGATTTCGGTAATATTAATGGTACAAATATCCAATTGAGAATGTCTGTAAACTAGGAGGAAAAGGAAACATAATATACCACATACCTGATTAACCAGCTGTAAAAAAAAGGGGGGTTTGGAAGTGAGAAATCCTGTAGAGATGTAGAGTGCAACAGACCAAAATAAGAAGGTGCTGGAAAAAATGAATCCAATTTTCTTCTCCTTGATTGTATTCATCCTCAGAAACACTGTCAAGATGAAAATGAAAAGAAATCACCAGCCAAACGTATGAATCTAGCTCCCTGCAAAGTAAGGCCTGCACCTCCTCAACAGATAACGTTGAACCCAATGCCTTGGTAGTTGCATCAGAAGTGCTGTCTACCATAACGGGAACTTCAGTTGTAAATACATTGAATCACAAAGTCATTCTAAGTTACCGTATAATTTGGTAATAATAAACAAATGCAAAAACAAATTTGAAGCAACTGAATGTACACACAGTAAAAGAAAACTATTGAAAAAGATACTGAAATGTCAATGAAGTACAATTGTAAATGGTAGTCAAATGTGAAAAACACATGTCTAAATTATGCTGTGAAAATCGAGAAGGTGAAGATTGAGCAGGAGAATCAGAAGGAGCCAGCTGTGCCAATACTGATGAGGGAATACTATTGGTGGAGGGTAGTCACATGCTATGTTCATGTTCAAAAGTGGCACAAAACTTGTGGGACATACAGACTGGTCTGCTGAGCATTAATAATTTTTAGCAATGCTTAGGGGCAGAAAGAAGATCAAGATAGCTTTGTATGAAAGGAGGTAAGACCACATCAGAATTTACAGTCCATATTATGATGAGCTATATAAGGTTAACTAGACATATATATGTGCATCTAGGAGATCTTATAGGTCATTAATATATCTGGATGTGCAAGTCAAATGAAACAAATAAGGTAACACATTTAATAAATCAGGCATTTTTGTATGCATGTGTATACTTTATGAATTCATAAAATCACAAGGACTGGTCTGAATGCCACTGTAAATGTCACTGAAACCAACAATGTAACAGGATGATAAGATGCATGTATTTTATTATTCATATATCTATGCAGGTGAATAAATTTTAAAATGAGTACCTACATGCTCAATGTTAATGAAGCAATAAACTTTGAAGTTATTAGCTCTTAAATGCATATCTTTTATGCTATATTATAAGGAAAATGCTTTACATATATATATGCATGATTAAAATAATTCCAATCATGAAAGTTTAGTAAAACTGTTGAAAAAAATATGACATAACAATACACGTGGTCAAAAAATACTAAACATCCTCAGTAAGTCCTGATACATTAATTATATCTGGATTAGTCACACATTATTTTGAACTATACAATATTAATCATCTTTGCCAGAAATTGCACACTTGCAGAATGAAACAACCTCTTATGTGAATTCTATTATTCAATGGTCTATATAGCACTAAACAAGGTAATGCAATTATTAAGTTCTTAAACAACATAACTTGAATTTAATTGCACTGTATCATTCTGTGGAACACAGTGCATTAACCATGTTAATTAATTATTTGTCAAACTTTCAAAAATAACTAAATAATTTATTCAAATTTAACATAAAGTAACAAATAACAATGTTTTGGGACAACATGGGACCTATTGGTTGTCCTATCCTCTAAACTAAACTAAAACTATTAATAAATAAATTTATACCAAAAATCTTAAAGCCAGCCCTTCTCATTCATATACTTATCAAGCTTTCTCTTAAACTCACTTAAATTTACTGCTTCCACAACATCTGAAGGCAACCCATTCTATAGGTCAACCACCCTGTTAGACATAAAACTCTTAGCTGAAGATGACTCCTACCTTGCCAAAATTTATATTTGTGTCCCTAGTCCTACTATTCTCACTGTTAATATGAAAAAAGATGATGCATCAACACTACCAATTCCCTTTATAATCTTAAACACTTCAATCGGATCCTCTCTAACTCTTCTTTTTTCAAGAGAAAACAATTTGAGATTTCAATCTCTCCTTATATGGCAATCCCCTCCATCCCAGGCCCATTCTAGTAACCCTCCTCTGAACCCTTTCCAACAGTTCAATGTCCTTCCTAAGGTAAGGGGCCCAAGACTGAACACAATATTCCAAACGTGGCTTAACCATGACCTATACAATGAAATTATAACCTCTTTACATTTGTATTCAATATTTCTGTAGATACAACCTAAAATCCTATTTGCCCTACCACTAGCAACAGCACACTGCTTGGATGACTTGAAAGACGGACCA